CCTTTATATTTTTCTGCTGTCTTGAGTCTAGATCTGGTGGGACAGGACTGTATTCAAGTGCATCTAGGCAGATCCATATATATATATATATATAACTAATAAGATCTAGGATCTCATTAGAGGAAGAACCAGCATGATTGATTGATAACCATGTTGATTGGTTAGTGATTGGTAGAAGTCTTAATGGTCATAGTCTGTTTCTGGTAACGATGTGCCCAATGCAGGCTTGTTTGCTGGGTTATATGCCGTCTTTGTGACCATGCAATAATCCATTCGTCCGGGTGGAGTGACGACCCACGGGGGTGTCCATGTGGCATGCCGGTGTTACTATCTATGTGGTAGGGTGAGATGTCGACCTGTGTCTGAGTGACAAGGTGGTTTGGCCTATTGAGTAGGCGGGACGGAGACATGGCGTGTTTTTTAGTTGCTTAAGCACTTGTAGATTGCTTGTTTGGTTTCATTAGATTTATACTTAATATGTTGGTGGAATATAAATGAATGAGGCGTGAGCCTGGTTTGGTTCTCACTAAGTAATTCTCCCAAATTACTCACCCCTCTTTCTATCTAGTTTTGTAGGTTAGATGGATAAGCTAAGTCTATGTTGTTGATTGTTACATGGGCGTTTTCGTTCCTGACAGACCTGAGGCTCACCAAAAGACTATGGTCATAACGACTATGGTCCTAACATACCGATTCTCCGGTTTCCTAGGAAGCTTGGGATATGGATGTTACAATTTGGTATCAGAGCCTAAGGAGATCTCCTAGCTCTGTCCTCGGACGAAAACATTTTTATTAAAATGTTTTAAAATGTTTTCAAACCTAGAACAACCAACAACTTATAGACGCTGATCTGATAAATGTTCTTTCTTTATCTATTTTGTTCCCTTTTTCCTTCTTTTATTTCCTCAAGCTTAAGGAGCTAGCCGCGTATGGGTTCAGCCAGACCAGGAGGACCTATTCAGCTTCATCTTGTCAGATTACATCACCAAAGAATATTAGTTCAAAGCTCCGTTTAGGATTTTTTAAAAAATGATTTCAAAGGAGTAGAGCTCTATTTTTTTATATTATTATTATTGATTGCTTTTAGGCTTCTTAGGATTTACTTAAATTCTATGCTAGTGTTCTTTCATTTTTCTTTTTCAAAAAAAATGTTCTACTCCTCCTTGTCACATTAATAAAATGGTTTTTCGTTTTTACTCAAAATGTTTTATTGCATCATTCCTTGAACTCTTTCTCCTTTATGTTTCTGTTTATCACTCTTCGTTCTAAATCCTTGGGCCTTTACATTCCCTTGGCGCCAGAGGTCCTATGGTTCCCTCTTGTTTCTTTCCTCTCAGCCATTATCCTTTCTGGTGCCATGGCTTCTTATAGTTCTATTTCTGAGTCTATTTTGATGACCTCTCCGATCCCATTTACTGCTTCCATCCCCGATCTCATTTCCGTTTTCCTTCTTGCCTCTATTTCTGGTTCCATTTCCTGATTCGTTTCTGATTTCCTTCTCCTCCTGCGGCCAAGCTTCCTCTTGTCTCTGGTACTTTTGTTTTTCTTGGTCTTTAGCCTTCGAACTTCCTTTCAGGAACTTCTTTCTTAGGTTTCGGGGACGAATCACGTACAAGAGGGGAAGATTGTAACAACCCGACCTTCGGTTAACCAAATGTCAGTTGTTATTTGTTCCTAATTTTGGTTTAATTTAATTAAACCATCTTTTCTTATTTCTTTTTAATAAATCTTTTTCCTAATCTCTCCTTAAAAGCCCATTAAGCCCAGCCCATCTAATTAAACCTAAGTATAAATAGCCTTCTTATCTCTTAAAACCCAACTTAATCATTCTAATTCTAAAAGACACAAACCTAGCCACATTTTCTCTCCTGCTCCTTCTCTCAGCCACGCCATCCTCTTTCATTCTATCTTACCGTGGCTCTGTTCTTCTCTCTCTCCATCGGCTGCCTCTCTCTTGTTCTTCTTTTCCTCTCATCATCTTCTCTCTAAAACCCTAGCCGTAGCGCCTTCTTGCAAGACGTTTCCCCGGCAAACCGTAAGGATCAACGCGACGAGCAACCTATCAATATGTAGCCCCGAGTGTCAGCTTTCCAAGGAAACCAATTTCTTCCAGAGCGGAGATCTATGCCAGGAGATATCGTCATTTTTGTGTCGGGTCTCCAGATCTGCAATTCTAGCTAAGGTGAGGATTAGATCTAGGTCTTTCTTCTTATTCCTTTATCTTCTTCTGGTGTGTTGAGTCTAGATCTGGTGGGACAGGTCTGTCTTCATGTGCATTAAAGCAGATCCATAGCAGATCTCATTAAAGGAAGAACCAGCATGATTGATTGATAACCCTGTTGATTGGTTAGTGATTGGTAGAAGTCTTAATTGTCATAGTCTGTTTCTGATAGAGGTAACGATAGGGTGTGGTTCGATTGTTTAGTCTGAGAATGCCCAAACGAATCAATTGATATTGAAGTCGTTGAGAACTAGGGTTCTAGCCGAAGACAAGAGTTAAGAAAGCAAAGCTTCTTGATTTAATAAGAATAATAAGTTGTGTTCTCACAAGGCGAGACATCAACTATATATAGCAAAGAGTTTTAAATCCTAACCAACTAGAAATAAGGAAAACCAATACGTAAAAAAGAAGGAAACAAAGAGAAAAGGAAAACTTAAATAAAAGCACAAAACTCAAACGTAAAAGGAATATAAGCTGCATCAGGTCACCCGGTGTTGGAAAGATTCGACCTCGAATCAGCAATGTCATCCTGTGGAACAAATGGAACTAGATGCTTGACGTTGAAGACGTCTGAATACCGAGCAGTTGGGGGAAGCTTCAGGCGATACGCGTTAGCGTTAATCTTCTCCACCACTTCTAATGGACCAATCTTTCGTGCCTTCAGCTTGTTATACTCACGTGCAGAGAAATGATCTCTAGTTAGCACCGCCCATACTTGATCTCCGACTTGAAAATGCACATCCCGACGATGATGATCTGCGTCAGCTTTGTACTTTGCAGATGACGCCTGAAGATTCTCGTGAACTTGGCTGTGAATAAACGATAGATCAGCCACAAAGTCTATCGCTTCACCATGATCTCGCGTCGCATCCGGTACAACCCCAAGATCAAGAGGACCACGAGGCACCATGCCATAAATGACGCGGAAAAGACTGAACTTAGTACTCCGATTAACGGCATGATTGTGTGCGAATTCTGCCTTGCACAAAAATAGTATCCCATGTTCGAATATTTTCGCCCACCAAGCAACGCAACATGTTACCCAATGCTGAGGATGATAAGCAGAGCTCATGTCAAGGCTGGTACACAGTAGTTTCCAAAGTGATCGCCAAAAATGACTGAGGAAACGAGAATCGTGTTTAGACACGATGGAGAGAGGAAGACCATGAAGGCGATAAATCTCTCGGAAAAACAAATGAGCCACCTGTAAGGCATCTGTCGTCTTTTTACAGGGAATAAATGCACCATTTTAGAGAACCGATCAACCACCACAAAGATGGAATCATGGCCACGCTGAGTACGAGGCAAACCTAAGACGAAATCCATACTGATATCTGTCCACGGCTGTGTTGGAATCGGCAGGGGCATATAAAGACCTGAGTTACTAGCGTGACCTTTTGAAAGCTGACAAACAACACACCTCTCGACGAAACGAGCGACATCTCGACGCAAGGATGGCCAAAAATAATAGGCGGCCACCAGCTCAAGCGTACGGTCTCTCCCGACGTGTCCCTCTCCATGTAACTCAGTGATAATCTGCAGACGCAAACTACAGGAAGGCACACAAAGACGGTAATTACGAAAGATGTAACCATCTTGCAAGACGAAATCCGACGGGGAACCCTGCTGCAAGTCGGACCAGATGCGCCCAAAGACTTTAATCAAAACTCATCGGGATTCAAAGATCCCTTCCTTATTGATACAATTAGACCCGCCGCGGTATGCTCAGCTACGCCATTGATCCTTGAGTACTTGTGCTAAGTACATGCTCTCTCTCTTTCTTTACTTATGCTTTACGCTTACAGGACTATGCTCTTCATTTCTCGAGGAACGCCTTTGAATTCTAGCGGAAAAGTCCCGCACTTCATTACGAAAGACTGGGCCTTCTTAATCCTCCAATCGTGCAGTAGCTCTCGTATATAAGAGAAGGGCAGCATTTAGGAGTAATCGATCTCACAAACTATCAATTTCATAAGAGAAGACGAAGATGGATCAAATTGAATAATCGAAGAGATATGGGACCCTAGCTACGAGTCAGTCCCTCTGACGTCGAATGATCTACTTTGCTTGTACTTATCTTTGTCGAGATTCAGTTGGTCTTCAGTCTACCACTCCGTGGGTACAAGATCGAAAAGAATGCATTCCAAGTGAGATGTCCAAGATCAAAGGATGGAGGGTAAGAATCGACGAGGAATCAATAAGATATAAGATAAGTGAATGACAAAGCGTGAGGAGAATTCTCAACCCGAGATGTTAGAAGGTGCAAAATCAATAGGTGCCGGAGCTGCTACAATTGCTTCAGCGGGAGCTGCTATCGGTATTGGAAACGTCTTCAGTTCTTTGATCCATTCTGTGGCGCGAAATCCATCATTGGCTAAACAATCATTTGGTTATGCCATTTTGGGCTTTGCTCTAACCGAAGCTATTGCATTGTTTGCCCCAATGATGGCCTTTTTGATCTTATTCGTATTCTGATCGAAGAAAGAAGGTTTCAGTCTCATAAAGCAAGCACCTCTTTCACATAAGAAAGTGGAGGCAGGCTTGGATACGATCTAAAATGATTCCACATGAAAGAGGACCGGGCAATCGCCCTCTTGAGTAATGAAGAAGCGGGCTAGTCCCTGAAAATGCCCATTAATCAAATCAAGTTGGGGAACAAAATCTTCCTTGTTAGTTACTCATTTCTTCGGTCGAGCGTTCTCCGGGCGTCGAGAAATCGATCACTCAATCACTGGCCGCTCTGTCATTGTCTGATTTTAGGTTTCTGATCACACTCTAAATAACTATGAAATTTTGCATTTCCGTAATAGCCAAATGGGCACCTATGGTTTTGTCGATGTTAGGGACTTTTTCCGGGTTTGATTTCGGGCTGGGATCAGAAGGAAGCGCTATAATGACCACTACGTGCGTTTCATTCTGTGCACTAGTGGCGTTCTCCTTTTGTTTGAGTTCCTTTCGTTTGAAAGGGGCGCTCAAGAAGGTTCTCCTCCTCTTCTTGATCTTTTCCGCTGGGTTCGTGGGATCTTTGATACGGATCCAAGTCGTCCACCTAGTGGGTGGACAGGCTTTGACCCTGTTGGGGCCGATTATCGGCTGGTATGCAGTAGGATGGCAAGCACTTTCTTCTACGGGCCCTAACGGGGCGGAGAGCTGGGAGGAGAGTACGTTTGAATTTGACGTGCTCGAGGAATCCTTTTCCCCCACGGCAGAGGAGGCCCAAACGGAAGAAGGGGAACCCTCGGTCAATTTTCAGGGGCCCGGGACGCCCCAGTCCCAAACGGAAGAGGGGGAACCCTCGGTCAATCAGGGGGGTCCCGAGGAAGCTGGGCCTGCGCTTCCAGCTCATCCAGTCGAGGGGGACGAAGCTGGGCCATCTCATAGAGTGGGCCCCTATCAGGACCAGGGCCTACCTACTGATAGGAATGGTGATAGATAGGACTTTTAAGGGTCTCAGGGCTATCAATCCCCTTGTCAATGTAGCACAAAGAGGTTTATCAATCCAGATGTGGTGTTAGACACTAAGCTATATGATCAAGTTCTTAATTCAAGCAAACAAGAATAGGTTTTGATTAATCTAGAGACAACTATAAACATAAACAGGTTTAAAGACAAATGACAATGACAAATGATGTGAATATGATATGATGGAGGCATGAGATTCTAGACATGATAGTTGGTTAGGGTGCCTTGGTGTTAAACTAGAAATGCTAATGACAATGATGAGACATGATTCAAATGATTAAGAACTCTAATCTAGGTTAATCCTCTCATGAAGGTATTAACCCCTATACTAATCCATTTTCAAACCAAATTCCCATTTGTGAAACATGAATCAATATGCATTAACAAACAGCTCTTAATGATCATTCAAGCATTTAACAAATCATTCCCATGATGAAAAATTACTTAAACCTCTAACACAACTCTTTCAGGAATTTCATCAAACACTTTTGGTGCATGAAATTCCCAGAATCTAGATCTCAAGTGATTATCAAGGATTTAGCATAGAGAACAGCTGTTTAGAGAGATGAATCAATGAATCTAGCCCTAAGCACTCCTATTCTAACACTTTAGCACCCTAACCTACACATCTAGAACCTCATTAAGGTGACTACTCACTAATCATACTAATCTCTCTTAAACTTTTGCAAGTTGAGTAGATTAGCATGATTAATGATGAGAAATGGAGATGGAGATGATAGATTCAAAAGAAAACAGCTTTAAACACCCAGATCTCCTTAAACTCTCTTGATTAAACACTCAAATAAAGATATTTCTCTTCTTAATGGAGTCTTTTCACCAAAAAGGCAAGAGACAAAGGGAATAAAACTTAGTTCTCCCCCAAAAAACCCTAAAAAGTATTTATACCTTCTTAAAAACGAACCGGGTCAGCCCGGAACAAACCGGGTCCTGACCCGGCTTTAATGGATAAAGTGGGAAAAGCTGCGGGTCGGTTCAGTATGTCCCAGGCCGCACACCTAAGTCGCAGTAGATGAAGACTTGTCTTGTGAGGCTTGAATCACCTTGTCGGAGCCGCACGCCTATCTAGGAGTAAATTGCGAGTGTTTCTGCGGCATGGTCTCCTTCCTCTCCAACTCGCAGGGCTGAGCCGGTTTCTGGGGGATGTAGAAACTGTGCGGGTTGGTCTCTATTGCACTTAGGTCGCAGGCTCAAGTCGGAGTGAATTCCGAGTGATCGTGCGGCATAGATCCAGGCACGGATGACCCGCATGCCTAAGTCGCACGATTGTGGACTTAGCATTTCTCTTGCTCGGGAGCTCCAGACCTCTTCCAGTGATAGTTTACCCGCACATTTCAACTCGCAGCATCAGCATTCAGGCGTTCATCTTCAGGCCTGCGGGTTAACCAAGTCGCAAGACCATCTCGCAGCATCCAGAGCAGCTTAGATCACTTCGCATTCCGGAGAGTGTAACTCCTGTGATACTTGTCCGAATTGAATGATTTCGGTTGCAGAAGACAGAGGACTCATTTATCTCCAACTTTTGTGAAGGAAGTTTCAGTGCTTGGGAGGTGGAAGGCTTCCTGGAGGGCACATCTTTGCAGTGCATGTATACGACCAGAGAGAGGCGTCTAGACATGTGTCCATTCCGGAGGCCGTATCTTCCTGCTCATAGATCCGAATTGAATGCTCTTGGACGTTCTGGAAAGAAGACTCAAATGTCTCTGATTCTCATGAAGGACCCGGAAGCTGATCGGCCTGGAAGTGCACCGTCCTTCGCATCCTTCAGAACTGATCTGCTCGGTCCGGGAATACCTGCGAGACAGGGTTTTCTTCCG